CAACCCTCCCATTAACCCTTTCCCTCCCAGAACAAAACCCATCCACAGAAACCCTTGCAACATAAAACATCCCAACAACCAGTACAATCATAGAGTCCTGACACAGACACAGAGACCTGTCCCCTGTGCCATAGGGTCTCTCCCAAGGATGTAGACTTGGTGTGCCTGAGATATGGTTCTGGCCACCTAAATCTGTTTCTGCTCTGTTGAGGACCAGGAAAACTTGGATGGACACCTGTGTTAGGCAGGGTTCATGAGCACAGCCTGACATAAAGGAGGCCAGGTCACACACCAGAGGTAGAAGCAGGGGAGAAGACTGACCACAGCAAGATGCAGGAGGTGGTCACACTGTTGGCCATGGACCTGCTTCCCAGCAACAGCCCTTTCACTAGGCCTATGCAAAGATCACAGAGACCTGCTGGGTCTCAACTTGGTTTCCACATAGCAGACCCACTGGCACAACTGTTCGAGCACTCGTGACACTCAGGACAAGTCCCAGAGGACTGAAAAAGGGCAATGTGGTCCCTATTTTCAAGAAGGGGAGGAAGGGGGAACCAGGTAACAATAGGCCAGTCAGTTAGCCTCACCTCTGTTCTTGGCAAGACCTTTGAGAAAATAGTTAAATATCCCATTTGCGGGGGACCAGTGGATAAAATAAAGTTAAGGGGCAATCAGCATGGGTTCACAGCAGGCAGATCCTTCCTGACCAACCTCGTTTCATTTTATGACCACAAAACGCTTGGATGAGGGAACAGAGGTAGATGTTGTTTACCTAGACTTTAAAAACACGGTTGACACAGCGTCACACCCAATTCTTATAAATAAACTAAAATCCACAGTGTAGGTTATTACACAGTCTGGTGGGTGGAAAATTGGCCTATGGGACACACCCAGAGAGCAGTGGTGGATGGGTTGGTTTCTACCTGGAGAAATGTGGGCAGCGGAGTGCCCCAGGGCTCGGTCCTGGGACCAGTACTGTTCAATATTTTCATCAGTGACTTGGATGAGGGAGTAGTAAGTGCCCTGTCCAAGTTTGCTGATGACACTAAACTCTGAAGGAGGTGCACACACTAGAGGGCAGGGAGCAAATCCAAGTGGATTTGGACAGGCTGGGGTAATGGGCTGAACAGAATAGGATGCAGTTTAACAAGGATGAGTGTCATGTGTTGCACCTGGGGAGGAGGAATCCTCAACACTCATCTATCCCAGGAGGGACCAATCTAAGCAGCACAGCTGCAGAAAGGGATCTCGGACTCATAATCGACTCCAAAATGAACGAGTCACCAAAGTGATGAGTTGATAAGTAAAGCTGACCGCACTCTTTCTTGCATAAGTAGGTGCATCACAGATGGGTCTAGGGAGGTGATACTTCCCCTCTCTGCAGCATTGGTCAGGCCACAGCTGGAGTACTGTGGCCAGCTTTGGGCGTCACACTTCAGGAGGGACGTGGATGACCTGGAGAGGGTTCAGAGGAGGGTCACTCGTCTGGGTAAAGCAGTACAGAAAAAACCCTATGTGGACTGATTGGGAGACCTGAACCTCTTTAGCCTCCACAAGAGGAGGCTGAGACGTGATCTTGTGGCCACCTACAATCTCATCAAGGAGGGGCAGCAGGTCACCAGGAAGTGGGGGATACAATGTTTACCAGGGCAACCGTTGGGGTAACTAGAAACAATGGACACAAGTTAAAAGAGAGCAAATTCAGACTGGACATCAGGAAAAAGTTCTTTACAGTGAGGGTTGCCAAAATATGGAATAGGCTTCCAAAGGAGGTGATGTTGTCCCCTTCCTTGGAAATATTCAAGAGGGGATTGGACAGACACCTGGCTGGGGTCATCTGACCTGAGCGCTCTTCCTGCCCAGGGCAGGGGGTCGGACTCGATGATCTAATAGGTCTCTTCCAACCCTAATAACTATGAAACTATGAAACAATGAAACCTGAACTGGCAAATAGGCCATGAAGTACTCCCCATGCAAGGACTGAGATACAGGGACGGGCAGAGAGGATAGCCCAACTACTCCAAAGATAGAGCAGAGCCCATCAACCCTCTTCTATGGGTCTGTCCATACACCAGGGGAGTTGGAGCAGGGGGTGGAAGAAGATAAACTGGCTCTGCTGGGTGTAACAGGGGTCAGGCTGGTGACAAGAGAAGTGGCGCTGTACAGACACCTGACCAAAGACCAGGGGACCCTGACAACCCCCTTTCAGTCATGTCATCCCCTGCATCAGAAGTGCTCTGTGGAAGACCAGGAGCCCCTGATGTACAGGCACACAAACTCTCAGTCGAGGACTGTGTGAAACTGGGACTGAGTGAGCTGCAGTCCTACTAGCAGGAAACAGCAAGAGAGGATAGAGAAGAGGTGGCAACATCCTCTGGCAGACAGACCACTGCCATAAGATTCAAAGACCACCCCCTTGGGGAAGAGAGCTGAGACAGAGAGAAAGAAAGCGAATTGGCCGGCTTGAGTGACAGCGATGATGAGGAGAGTGACAGTGACGGGGATGACAGCAACAGTGACACCAGTAATTGTGACATGAGTTAAAAGCTTAAAGACTGGTGTCCAGTGGGAAAAACAAAGGGAAAGTGCAAATGTAATGGTGAAAGGAATGCAGACTAGTGTGCAGGAGCACAGGTGTGACTATTGTAATGGGAGTGAGGGTGCACAGGTGTGAGGAAGCAAGTATTCTAATGGGTGTATGTTTCTGAAACTGTGGTTTGGGTCTTCAAGACTGGTAAAGTTTAGTGTTCTATCTATCTATCTATCTATCTATCATCTGTCTGTTTAGAAATATAATTTTCTGAAGAAAAAAACAAACAAACAGGGGAGATAAGGGCTGTGCCTGTGCCCTGGCCCTGCAGCTGCCCTGGGTTCAGACTGGTTTGGGGATCTCAGGTAAGACCCTGCTTTCTCCTTGGAGCCGTGCTGCCAGCTTGAGCTCTGCCTTGTTCTTTCTTCATGCTACCAGCTGCAGCAATGACTTACACCAGCATTTGGATCCGAGTTCTCTTGGTGATTGTGATGGGAGTAGGAGCCATGACTGTCACAGCCTATTTCTGGAAGAAGAGGAGGAAAGGTAGAGCGGGAAAATGCCACTTGTCTGCAGGGCCAAAACAGGCGGGGATAGGCCAGAGAGGGTGGAGGATGGGCAGCGATGGACCTGGGTGTGCAGAGACCTTTCCTGCAACAGGCCTGCCCACCCCAGGGCAGGATTCACCTCCTCACTTCCCAGTACCTAGCTCAGACTGATGTCTTCCATATGATCCTGGGCCACCTCCTGTATCTCCAGTGCTCTGGACCCAAGGCTGGGCAGTCCCCTACTCCATCTCAGAGGTCCAGGGACCAGACCGGTGCCAGAAGGGCTGGGAGGTGACTCTGCACTGCTCCATGGAGGGGAAGTTCCCCAAGGATGTAGCTGCAATGTGGGAGAGGATCCACAGTGAGGACAGGATGTCATTTGAGAGTGACATGGACCAAGAGAGCCCCGAGCACCAGCCACTGTTACCTGCCCTCCCCCAGGCCTGGAGAGTGACCGAGGAGAGAGCTGGGACCCGCCTCACGTCCTCCCTGACCTTCACCCCCACGCTGCAGGACGATGGGGTGCGGGTCCGGTGCATCTTCCTCCATGATGTTGAATGTATCAGAGAGGAGCGAGTGTCCTCAGAGATCAGGGTGTGGGGTGAGTGCCCAGTGCCCCTGCTACCACCTCCAGGTGTGGCTAGGGCCTGCTGCTAACACAAAAGATGGGCCTTGGGATAGGCCAGCACCTGCCAAGGTTTGGAGCTGCCAACTGTGGTGGTGGCAGGCTCACCCAGCCCTCACAGCACCTCCCCACCCCTCCACCAATCTGCTTGGGGGAGCAACCTTCCATCACTCCCAAGCAGGATCACATCACTCCCTCGCACTAACACCCCCACTGTCCCCCCAGCCCGGCCGCAGGTGTCTGAGATCCAGGTGTTGCCGGAGTGGGACCCCCGCGACAAGGTGCCGTTTGCTGTCCAGCTCCACAACTTCTACCCCAGGGAGGTGCCCCCGATCCAGTGGGGCTGGGACGGGGCCGGGAGCTGGAGGGAAGACCCCGCGCAGATAGACAGGAACGCGGACGGCACGTTCACTGCGACGAGCGTCTGGAGAGTGCCCAGCCGGAGCCTGACCCGGCCGGAGCTGCGAGTGCGAGTGTGCGTCCAGCACGGCCCCGGAGAGCCCCCGAGCGAGAGAGAGCTCAGCCTGAGGGCCGCGGGTGAGGAGGGGCCGTGTCCTGGGGTCCCAGCCCCGCTGCAGGGGTGTTGGGTCTGTGTGGTGTGTGAGGGGCCGGGGAGCAGCCCCTGCCAGGCCGCGGCTCCCCTGACGGGGCCTGTCCCTGCCTCTGCCTGTTCCCTTCCCCAGGTGTCCTGCGGCCCCCGGACATGTCCAAAATCTCCCAGACTGAGTCCATGGACAAGGGGAAGGGAGTCATCCTGAGCTGCTGCATCACGGGGCATTTCCCGGCCTGGTCGCCTCGTCTGAGTGCAGGGTGGAGCCCGGGACGGCCGTCCTGGCACGGGATGGGAAGAGCTTCCAGCAGGAGACCAGACTCACCCGCTGGACATCCAGGGACCAGGGGACAGAGTACATCTGCCGTGTGGGACACCTCGCCCTGGAGACCCCCATCGAGCGGAGCAGTGGTAAGTGGTGGGGGACGGGACAGGCCGGGCGGCTGTTCTGGGAAAAGGGGCCTTGTCCTGGGCCCCGCTCTGGTCCTGGTCATGGTGGGTCTATAGAGGAGAAGACCCACCTGTTGCCCGGCTCAGCCCAGAGGAACTGTGGCTCCCTGGCCCTGCCTGACCCCTCGCTCCAGGCCCTCCCAGAAGCTGTGTGGGACAGGATGTGCCTGGGGCTGCGTGGGTGCCTGACAGGACTCCATGGCATTGGCTGCCAGGAGCTGGGCTCAGGCCAGCTGGGACAGTGTGTGGGCAGGTGTCTGGTGCCCGGGGAAAGGGGCTGCTCACTGACATGCCACTGCCACCTGTTGCAGTCTTCCATCCGTGCCCTTCAGACCTGGGGGAGGACTTCCTGCTGCAGGCCCTGGTCCCTGGGAAGCCAGTGACCGTGCAGCACCTTCTATCAGGATCATACGCCAAGCAGCTGGCGATGACCTGGCTGGGAAAGAGAGCAATGAAGGAGACCAGGCCCCTGGGGACCTCAGACCCCCACAGGATCCACACCCCCACCTCCAGTCGGGCACCAGATGGGAAGTCCTACAGCATGGAGTCCGAGCTACTCATCCCTCCTGCGGGGCCTGAGGATGACTGGGTCGAGAACAAGGCCCTGAAGAAGCCTAAGTCCAGGCCTAGCTGGCTGAAAGGTAGGAACGTTCATGCCGGGCAGCATGAGATGATGCTGGGGTGGGGATGCCCAGGGGCTACTGTGCTTTGAACCAGCAGCTTGGTCTGTTCTGAGCAGACGCCCCCCTTGGACTGAGCTTTCTGCTCTTGGTTCTCAGGTGCAGAGGTGATGTCCCGGTGGTTTGTGAGTGACCGCTCTGGTCACCCCGGCAGGCAAGGACAATCCCCATGTGATCTCAGCTCAAAGGGGAATGTGGACCCCTGTCATGGCCCAGTCTCAGTAGTGGTGACGCGTGTCAGGGGACAACAGGAAGTAGTATCCTCTGCAAGGCATGGGTGTGAAGTAAAAGGGAGTTTGGAGCCCCATACCTGGCCTGTAAGGCAATGACCATGGACCCCCGTGCTCATGAGAGCAAGGTCAGGCTGGGGAAGCCCTGGGGCAGTCTCCCTTTATTGAAGAACTGAAGACGTCATGGCGTGGTGGATGAGGGGGACTGCCCAAAGTGAGACGGATGGGGCTGAAGGGGCTCCAGAGCATTACAGTCACCCCTGGAGTGGACCCCGTTACACCAGCTCAGGGGGAAGCCCAGTGGCTCAGATCCTGTTGGGCAACTGGACCCGTGTGCCCAGATGGCAACTCACAGGCTTGTTCCCCATGTCTTCTAGGTTCGTCAAAGTCCTCCAGAGCCTCCAAGAGATGAGGAGGGAGCAGGCAGCCAAAGACAAAGGCAATGTCACCAGCACTGAATGACAGCACTGCTCCTGCCATCCTGTCTTTGCAGTGGGGCTGGGCAGGGAGCCCAGGGCTGGGGGGGGTCTCTTGCTCTCTGTCCATAAGGAGCCAAGCTCTACATGGCTTCTGGGTTTCCAGAATAAAGATGACAGCAGTGGCAATCACCTGCTTCCCCAACTGGATTTAGGAGCCAGCTAGGCAAAGCCAAAGTCCCCAGGGCCTCTGCATGGAGCTGCCCCCGAGGCCCTGCAGCATCTGCTCCCTGGACCCCACTAAGGGAGTCTCAGCCAGGCCCTGCTCACTGCCCCAGGGGCAGCATCAGCCTTTCCACCTCCCTCACAGCTGAGTGGAGGGGCAGGGAGCTGCAGCCCCCCAGGGTGGGCACCGCACACACTAAGGAGCTTGGAAGATGTGGAGAAGACACTGTCTGTGCCACAGAGCCCAGCACCTGGACAGCTGGGTTCCCGCTGTGCCTCTCCTCAACAGCAGGAGCCTCCAGTCCTTGCTGAGCTGTGAGGAAGACGCAGGTATCAGAGGTGCCAGAGCTTGGGCTTTCCACTGCCCACCTGCAGCCCCCCCCACAGGGCCCGGACCCTGTGAGAGTCCAGCATCCACATCTATTTATCTAGATAAAGACCTCTTCTGGGCAGGCCTGGTGCAGCTGTGGGCCCCGGGTGAGGGTGGGGGCTCTGTCCCTCAGAGCTGTCCCAGGGAGACAGAGAAGGGCCGGGGTGTGCAGAAGGGGCACACAAATTCTAGCTCCAAGCGTGAGAGGTCCACGCTGAGCCCTGAGCTGGATGCTTCTCCTCCCAAGGCCTGGGCAGAACTTTTTGGTCCTGGCCAACCCGAGGTCAAGGGCCAGAAGGAAATGCTGGTCCTGTCTGGGCTGAGCCAGTCCTGTCCACCTTCAACTTCAGCCTTTCAGCAAGAACTGATGTGGAGGCTGAAAGTGCTGCCTCTGGGTAGGTTGACATGGCCTCATCCAGGATTGGAGCCGGGGAACCTCTGGCACCCACAGCAAGGATCATCCCCTGGAGCCCATGAGTGTCAGACACAGGCCGAGGAGCCTTACTCTCCAGCCCCAGCTTCATCTTGTGTCCCTCCGTCCTGGTCCCCCTGTCACCCTGTCCTGGAGCCAGGGGAGATACCGGAGCAGAGCCCTCCCCTTCCCTTCCCCACTTGTCCCAGCAGGTGTTTTCTCCTTCTGGCTGCCAGCTGTCCTCTCAGCTATCCTCTCAGGCTGTGGTTCTTTCTTTAGGTGCCAGTGGCCCCATGTTTACATCCTCAATGAATCCCTCCACCCCCCACCCCCATCCTTGTGGTACTTTCCAGGCCAGTGGGGACCAAACTTCATGCAGCCATGCTGGCCATCCTTTCCCTTACCAGATCTGCTGCTCTGCTTTCTGCTCCTGGCTCCATCTGCCATGGTGCTGCCTCTCCCCTCCTTGATCTTGCATGTGCTACATGCAGAGGCTGCTCCCACTGCATGTAGGGCCCCCATCCCCTCCCTTTACAGGCAATGTCCCCCCAAACAAAAGAACAGGCTGAAAATCAGAAGAAATCTCTGCATCAAACATGCCCCAGCTGGGGCCTGGCACAGGGGTTGCAAGCAGCATATGCAGAGTTGGGGCCATGGGCAGGGGCTCTGGGACAGACTGGGCAAGGGGCCCACATGGGCAGGAGAGTCCAGCTGGAGAGAGACGCTGGAGAGGGGGAGGCCAGGATGGGGAGCCTGGAGGACCAGAGCATGGAGCAGCTGTGGGCTGGGCTGGGCTGGGTTGGGGCTGCCGGGGTTGGAGCAGTGAGGGGGCGGCTGCTTTCCTGCCTGGCTACCTGCTCCAGGGGTGATTCTCTCTCCAGGTGTGAGATGTCCTGGTCAAGCCCAGAGCCAGATGCTTCTTGTCTCCCAGCCCCAGCAGCACTCCCTGGTCCTGGACAACCCTTGGATCAGGGCAGGCTGCTTGCAGATGCCTATGCCAAGGCTGTGCCATGTGTGCTGCTGGGCTACATCCCCCTGGTTTTCAACTGCTTCCTCTTTGGAGGGACAGTGCTGGGTGCTAGAGGGTCACACTGGGAGATGGGAAGCTGGGTGAGACCCAGGCCCTGCCCTACCCACTGACAGGGGAAGGAGCTCGGCCCATGGGTGCTTAGTGGAGCTTTAGGCAGGGCTGGAAACCAGAGGGCTGATGACAGCCTGGGGGTGTAGGGAGAGTCCCAGCCCTGCCAGCACCTGCTCTTGGGACAACATCTGGGAATGACATATGAAGGGTGGGCTCTTTGGCTTAGGGGTATAATCTTTACTTAAGGGATGAGAGCTGTTGTGTTCAAAGCCCAGGTTTGTCTCTCATGCCTGTCTGGTCCCCAAATCATAGTGAGTCCTGCACCAGGGCAAGGGCAGATATGAGGAAAAGTTAAATGAGGAACATTTTTAGCTGGTAAATACCAACTACATGGACAAGCACCCGAAGTGGCCTGAGCGGCACAGGTCTTTGTGGCCTGGTGACATCAGGGCCCCGGGCTCTCCCAGCTGCAGCAGCACAGCCCTGCACGCCACCCACTCAGTGGCTGGGCACACTCCCACAAATGCCAGGTTCACCCCTCAGGTCCAACTGTGCACCCAGGTAGCCCCCTGCTCCTGCCCCCATGTTTCATAGATTTCATAGATTTCATAGACATCAGGGCTGGAAGGGAACTCGGAAGATCATCGAGTCCAGGCCCTCGCCCAAAGGACAGGAGGTCAGCTGGGGTCATAGGATCCCAGTGTGACGGGCTAGCTGGCACTGACCTAGCCCAGGGGTTTTGAAAGGGCAACAGTTGATTGGAGGACTTGGGATTCCCTTTCCTCACCAATCAGGCCCCAGAGACTCACCCCTCATGTCCCCTGATTGGCCCCTTGGGTCAGCTGGAGGGGGATAAAAGGGGCAACAGGGCTGACTCAGGGAGAAGACCAGTGAGGGACCACAAGTGGGGCAGGAGCAGTTGCCCCAGAAGAGTCTGGAGGAGCAGGACCTGCAGGCAGCAGTGGGACACTTAGCAGCACAGCATGAGGATAGCAGGAGAGGCTCCCGCTGGGCTCCAGGATCCCCTAGGAGAGGCTGTGGCCAGCAGGAGAGGCTTCCCCCTTCAGCAAGGATCTGAGCAGCAACCTGAGGGGTTCCCAGCTTGGCTTCCACCTCCTCCAATCAGAGACCAGGCAGTTTGACGTGACACCGCGGCTCCTGGAAGGTAATGACCCCCAGCAGCTTGCCACAGTATCAGCACTTCTGGCTGTGTGGCAGTGTTCCTGCCTACGGCGTGGGAGAGCCAAGTTTAAGTCCCACCATTGGTAACTTGGGGTGTGTAAACTAACAAGGCAAAACTCTTCTTGCAGTGGAAGGGGGCCATTGTGTTTTCCCCTTTCTCCCCTTCCAGCTACCTCAGCCCTATATTTCTTTGTCCTTTGACAATTGTATTTTTTACCTCTTATATTTCCCCAACCAGCATTGTTTGCTCTGCTGCTTGTGATTTATATTTTGTGAACCCTGTCTTTTGTCAATGATTGTAAGTGTCTAACCTTTGTTGAATCTTGCCCCTTGGGGCATTGTGGTGTCCACTATACACCTGATTTATGCCTGTTATTTTACCAGTATTGTTCCCTCATTAAAAGGTATATGGTGAAGTCCCCAGTGGTGGTCTGGCTCTGCTCTATAGGGGGAGGAGAGTCCCTACACCTCCCACAGCGCTTGTGCACCTGCTCTGATCCCTTCAATTGGAGAGGGGTACCTTGTGGAATACCACCTGGGTTACACCAGCAAGATAAGCATCCAGTTTTTTTTCCTGAAAATGTTCAATGTAGGTGCTTGAACCACCTCCGATGGTAGGCTCTTCCAGGCTTTGGGGTCTCGGACACTGGAAAAAGACTTCCTTGTATCCAGCCTGAAATGGTCTTGCAGTAATTTATAACGGTTTGACCTCATCATCCTTGGGGCGCTCTGGCGAACAAACGTTCCCCAAGATACTGGTGGTCACCCCTGATAAACTTGTAGGTGGCCATCAGATCACCCCTGAGCCTGTGCTTTTCCAGGCTGAAGAGCCCCAGGGCTCTCAGCCTCTCCTCGTAGGGTCTGCTTCCCTGACCTCTGATCATGTGCGTGGCTCTTCTCTGCACTCTCTCAAGCTTCTCCACATCCTCTTTGAATTGTGGGGCCCAAAACTGGACGCAGTACTCCAGCTGTGGCCTCACCAAGGCCGAGTACAATGGGAGATTGATGTCCTGGGATTTGCTTGAGAAGCATCTATGGATGCAAGCCAGCGTTTTGGTCACTTTACCAGCCGCAGCATCGTCTTAAATGTTCATCTTGTGGTCAGTGATGACCCTGTCTCTTTCTTTGGTAGTGCTAGGCAGTGTAGCACTGCCAAGTCTATGAGGATGCTGCAGGTTTTTCCTCCAAAGGTGGAGAACCTTGCATTTTTCAGTGTTAAACACCATCAGGTTGTGGTCCACCCATTTCCTAAGCCTGTCCAGGACAGTCTGGATCGCCCTCCTGTCTTGTGGTGTGGATACTTTGCCCCACAGTTTGGTGTCATCAGCGAACTTGGCCAGTCCGCTTCTGACTCCAATGTCCACATCATTGATGAAGATGTTGAACAACATGGATCTAAGGACAGAGCACTGGGGGACCCCACTGGTCACAAGGCACCATGACGATTGACTTCCGTCAACCACCACCCTCTGGGTCTGACCACGGAGCCAATTTCCCAGCCAGTG